GCAGCTGCTGACTTGGGGACACCTGGGGCAGAGCAGCTGGGGTGCTGCTGGGTTGGTCCAGTAGCGCCCAGAGCGGTGCTACGGGACCAACCGGCAGCACCCCAGCTGCTGTACCACAGGCGTCCGGAGCAAAACCGCGGAGCACGGGGGCAGCGGGACAGCCCAGACGCACTGTGGCTGTCCTGCTGCCCTCGGGCTCCGCGGCTTTGCTCTGCTTTGCTCCCCCTCTCCTGGTCTGCAGACCAGGGGGACGGGGAGCAAAGCCGTGGAACACGCGGGCAGCGGACAGCCCAGAAAGGGCAGGTACTGAAGATTTAGTCTTCCTAAATTTAAGGTACGCTTTAGCATAAATTTCAAGTTTTACTACTCAGATAAACCCTCCTGGTGAGAAGCATCTACTGCAGAAAGCAGTCTGGCCAGTGTATCTATTAAAGATGAGTGTTTAGAATAAACATATTTCTAAGGTAGCTAATATTTTATTTTTATACACACATAAACAGTATGTTTTGGCCTCTTTCCCACACTATTTATTGTTTATATTTTTATATTATAAACTTATATTTTTATTCTTTAACTGGATAGCACATAGCACTCGGTTTCTATTTATTAAAATATTTAAAAAAAAATAAAATATCCACATCTAATATCAAGATAATAATCAAGTCATTACCTAGGTGGCTATTATTCACAGACATATCACCTGCTTTGTAGGGATTCTACCATTGTGGCTTAGGTCAGCAGCTGAGCTGATCTTTGTTGTAAGTAAGTCTCCCCTACAAGAACTTGCTTTGCTCTCTCAGCATGAGTCATACCTTTTCCCATTACACTTGTTACATGTGCAAGAATTCTCCCCAAAAGTATGTTTACCGCACTTACCATGGAACCTTTCATCACATTTAAAATGTCATTTTTGTAGTTTTAGGTGGGATTATTCCTTATTATGTATTTATTAGGAACTAGTGAACAGAGCCAATAGCACCTTAGTGGAATGTGCTTTATATATAATAACGTGCAAGAACCACATCTAACTTTGTAAAGAAAAAAAGTCTTACATATACAACTCATTAATTATTTACATTAAAAATACTTAAACCCACAAAAACAGGCAAATTTTGATGCACAATATAGTTATACATCAACACTATGGCCCTATCCAAATTCACAGTACATTACGGCCAATTTCACAGCCACAGAACTTGAAAATTGGTAAATTTAATGGTTTCAGGTATTTAAACCTGAAATTTCATGATATTGTAACTGTGGGGATCCTGACTCAAAAAGAGATTGTGTGTGGGAGGAGTTGCAAACCTGTTGTAGGGGCAACATGGGATTGCCACTCTAATTTCTGTGATGCCTTCAGAGTTAGACTGTTAGACTCTGAAGGCACCAAGCGCAGTGCTTCTTGCAACAACAGGAGGTTGCAAGAGGTAGAAGTGGGTCTGATTTCCCCTTTGCTGCTGGGAACAGCCCATGCTACGGACTCCTTGCTGCTAGTCCTGACTGGCTTGGGAGGAACAACACTTGCTCTCTCTCTGCACAACTGCAGAAAGTGCTACACTCCTAGCCCCACACTCAGCTGCAGGCAGCTCAGGCTGCTGCCAAGTCCCAGAGTCCTGCAGCAGCAGAAGGCACCCAGAAGTGAGTCTGGCATGGTCCCCCTCTCCCACTAACAAAGGACTTTACAGGGGAGATACAAGTCCTGTCCTTCCCATGTCCAGTTGGAGGTAGAAATCCCCCTTTGATGGGGGTGTTCCTAGGAACAAGGAGACATCAGATTTCATGGGGAAGGGCTTATTTCACGATCTGTGATGCATTTTTCACAGCCGTGAAATTGGTAGGGCCTGAATAATCACTGAGCAGGATCTCCTCTTGCACATTAGCAGCCCTGTTTTGTGACGTGCAAGTGATCAAGCCATGTTGGAAGCAAAAATGGGGTACAAGATCCACAAGCCTGCCTCTATAAAGTACCTAACTCTTCCCCAGTCACCGCAGTAGGAAAGGTACTAGTCACACTTCAGCCTTCAAAACTCCAGGCATCTGCCCTGCAGAACTCATGATTTTTGCACCTTCTAGTTCACATAAAGGCCAGCCATAGGCTTGCACTGAAATATTTTTATAGTAGCATCCAGTCTCATTAGAGAAAGCACTGAAATTTGCTTGCAGTTGGGTAATGACAGCACTTGCTCTCAGAGTCTGCCTGGCATATCACAAGCCTGGTCCTGCTGGCTTGCTACAGGCAACTGACAGCATGATCCAACCAGGGTCTGCTTCCTTGACTTGTGCTGCACTTCCCAATGTTTAGTGCTCCCTAGTCAGGCTGAAACATTCAGTCTTTCTTACAGGAAAAACTATGAGAATAAATATTTTCCAATTCTATAATGTCCTGAGTGCAATCATTGGAAAGGTGAAAAAGAACTGATCATGTTATGCTCTCCTATCTATACATTGGTAGTACAATAGCCATCTACTACTAATAAAAGAAAGTCAAAGGAAAAAGCATGAAGAAAAGATCCCCACTCACACCTCAGTTTATTAACAGAGCAGGGAAATTAGTTGAAGGGATGCATCCCAAATAAGAGGAATTTTTGTAACTGAGAAAGATGGTTACCAGAAATAGTTTGTTAATAAAACAACGATGCTCCACAATATCTAGCAGAGTTAAAAACTAGTCAACTAGAAAGCGTACATGTTGGCATGGTGGGCAAAACCATTCTCCATCTGGGATTATCATCAATGGGGGGCGAAGGCAGGCTGTGTGGTATCCACTGTCACAAGAGTCACACAACAGAATCTGTAGAAACAAAGTCCAGTAATAAATTAGCATTATGTTGCACATCATGACAGGTAGCAAGTTCTAAAAGTATTTCCTAGGAAGTGTCGAAACATCTGTGGAAAAATGCCCTGATCTATACAAACTTCAGAACCTTCAAAATCACTTATTTATAGGGTGCTTTGGAAAAGATGAAGCATGTATCTGCATGGTACAGCTTGTATATCTGGAATGTCAGCCTTAACTCTGGATTGTTCAAATCACTCGCTTCTCAGGTAGACCCCCCACTCCTGGAAAGGAGCATATCCTTTCTTCCTAGAAACCAGCAGCGCCTCCCTGAGGCTCTTAGCTTGCTCTCTCTTGCTTTTCCCAGCAGAGTTAAAGCAGCAGTTCCTGTCCACAGCTTCCAGCTGTTTCTCCTACCTCTATCTCTCCCTGCCTGGTGCAGCCTGCCAGCTCAGCAGCTTCACAGGGAGTGGGCCAAGCTACATCACGTGGCTGAGCATTTGGGGGTGGGGGAGCATGAGATGGGGAAGAGAGAGAGTAAATGTTGGGGAAGGCTGAAGATATGAAGCTGGATTCTGAATCCTGCCCCCTCTTCCTCAGGCCACCATCATGCCAGTCAGCAAATCCAGATTGGAAGCAGGCAGGCAAAAGAGATGTGAGGGGAACCTTACTGGAAAGCAAAATGCAGGATGATGTAGCACTTTAAAGACTAACAAGATGGTTTATTAGATGATGAGCTTTCGTGGGCCAGACCCACTTCCTCAGATCAAATAGTGGAAGAAAATAGTCACAACCATATATACCAAAGGATACAATTTAAATTTTTTAAATTTAAAAAACCATGAAAGCTCATCATCTAATAAACCATCTTGTTAGTCTTTAAAGTGCTACATCGTCCTGCATTTTGCTTCAGCTACCCCAGACTAACACGGCTACATTTCTATCACTATCTTACTGGAAAGAGATTTCTTCTTACCTCCAAGCCATGAGGGCACATCTACACCAGTAAAAAAACAGTTTGTATTAAGATGAATAGCAGACTTATTGAAGCCTCATCTATGGCCCATTACTGCTGCTAGCTATTAAACCTGTCCCATCACTTTTCCCAGGACAGGAGTGTTTATTGTAAAATATCATTACACATCTCTCAGAAGAAAGCTCTCTCACAGCAGAAATAGCTATATTTTACACATTACTAGTCTAAAAAACCACGACTTTCAGAATGATCAGTGGACGTTTTTCTATCATACTATTTTGTAGATCAAGAACATACTAGCTCAGGATGATTGGGAAGGCCACACTTCTTGCATGGTTCATCATCATCAGCAGGTGCAGGTTCCTCTTCTTCCTCTTGCTGCTCTTCCTCAGATTCCTCCTCAGATTTCTCTTCACTCTCAGACTCCTCGCTCTCTTCGTTACTTGAGTATCTCCACCTGCCACGTGTTCGCGTGCCTGTCCACCTCACTTTGCTTCTCTGTGTGACCTAGCATTCCAACGATAAAGAGACTATCATTTTTAAGTTTAAGTAAATATTCTCTAAACTGAACTGATTCATTTAAATCAAAATAGCTACAGGAAAATGTAGCATGATACAGCAGTTTCAATGAGTAGATAATCTTTCACTGAGTCCCAAAATACTTACAGAACTAAAGAAAACTAAAACTAAATGGGAAAAAATTAAGGAGTACAGGCAAAGAAAATACTTCATATAAGGTTTAAAAGATGTAAAGACAAAGCCTTCGAATGTGACTCAGCCCCTTTTTGTTGAGCTATCAAAATCTATGATTTCTACTTTGACAGGGTAATTTTGCAAGCGAACATGAGAACTTTAATATGTAAGCTTCACCCCCAAAGAACAATACATCTTTATTTAAAGCTGCTTTTCCTCAACTGAAAGAGAATGTATTTCTAATATTGCTTTCTTTTTGAAAAACAAATTACAGAATGTGACTTTTATTTTATTTTAGAATCATCATATTGTAAGACATAAATTGCTATCAGCATTAAGAGTTCTTTCTGCTTGTGAGGTTGGAGGAAGAAGATGTCTGAGAGGACTGTGCATGTGTTTTATACAACAGGCCCAGGCCCAGGCCCAGGCCCAAAATTCTCTAATATATATTAGGGTTGCGAGACGGTTCCAACAAAAATACCAGATACACTTGACATTACATCACAATCTACATTACATCTTATTTAGAAAATACCAGACATTTGTATTTTCTCATTTATATTTTTTCAATTTGTTTCCCGAACAAAAAGCTCAAATACTGGACTGTCTGGTTCAAAACCGGACACCTGGCAACCCTAATTATATTAATTTTTGTATTTCACTATACATATTTAGATTACTAAGTCTTCAAACGTTATGTCCATTTAAGACCATATTTGTTTCATTTTTAATGTATTACTGTTACTTGCAGTGCCTATGATAACTAGAACGGAAAGATAAAAAGATCCCAATACTTTTGCAGTTTATATAAAGCATTTGATCTTACTTTACTAAAACAGGTTCACTTTGTCCCCTATAAGATCTATTTCTCATTTTGTCTGTGAAGGTTATTCACACCGCAATTGAAAAGAGAAAACCCTTTTTTAAATATAGGAAAAGGTGTTTGTAGAACTAAAAAAGCTTGTAAAGGGATTCAGAACAGGAATAGCACCTGTAAAAACTAGTTTTGTTTTTTTTAAATAAACTAGATTTCAAGTTGACATGGTCTCGTTAACCTGAGTACTAAAGAAAAATATTGTTTCTATCATACTGGGTTTTCTAGTTAGCTTTTCAAGAAAACATGCAGGTCAAAGAACTCAAGAGTCACAGTTACACAGGGCTAAAAGCAGACTATATGGCTTTGTCTAGACTGGCCAGTTTTTCCGGAAAATCAGCTGCTTTTCTGGAAAAACTTGCCAGCTGTCTACACTGGCTGCGTGAATTTCCGCAAAAGCACTGACTTCCTACTGTAAGAAATCACTGCTTTTTGTGGAAATACTATGCTGCTCCCATTTGGGCAAAAGTCCCTTTTGCGCAAAACTTTTGCGCAAAAGGGCCAGTGTAGACAGCTCAGATTTGTTTTGCGCAAAAAAGACCCGATTGTGAAAATGGCGATCGGGGCTTTTTTGCGCAAAAGTGCGTCTAGATTGGCCACGGACGCTTTTCCGCAAAATGTGCTTTTGCGGAAAAGCGTCCGTGCCAATCTAGACGCTCTTTTCCGAAAATGCTTTTAACAGAAAACTTTTCCGTTAAAAGCATTTCCGGAAAATCATGCCAGTCTAGACGTAGCCTACATGTCTTCTAATTGCAAGATCACCACTCTACACTATAAAAAACTTGAAACTGCATGAAAGCCAAACGTTTCTTATGGAAAAACACTTCTTAAACCCACCCCAAAAAAATCTACATTCAGCCTAGATAAAAGATTCTCTCTCAACCCCATTAAAACAGAAGACTCTCCTAAGAAGAAAACTCCTGTTACATAGTAGTACTATTTTAATCTAACATTTTTCTTATTCTCATCAATCTATCATCATTGTCAAATTGACCAGGCATCAGAATATACATCCCACAGTTAATCTTCAGCATTTTATTCATCATTAAAGCATCCAACCTATGGATTTAGAGCATCCTGAAGGTTTGATTAATAAAGATAAAATCTTCTAGAAAACAAAATAATTTGCACTAGTTATTCTAAACCAAGTTCAATGTAAGAATCCTGGCATTTACAAATTGTAAAGTTAACGGCTATTAGCACTTTCCTGAGGGCTGTTTTCAGATCAGTCACTACCCTAAACAAAAGTTACTGGACTAGTAACATGCATACACTGACTGTAATGGCATGCTTTCCAACATTCCTCCACAGATGTGTTTTCCTTTGATCAAAAACAACTATCCTCCTGTGCACTATAATGGTGTTACCTTGCTCACTTTAGAATTGGATTCCTTCTCTTGTTTTTTCACATCCTCTCTTCGGTCCTGTTTTTGCAGCGCTGACAGTTTCTCCTCCTCTTCTTCAACTCGTTTTTTGTCAGGTTTCTGATCCCGAGTTTCTACCACTTTTGGAGTAGGTTTAGATATTCTTGGAGACCTCCTTAAAGTGCGACCAACACTGACTTCCTCCTCTTCCTTCTGCTCAGTGTCTTGAGTCTTGGGAGGTGGATCAGGCTTCTTCTTTTTATTGGAGATTCTGATGGTTAACTTGATCCCTTCTTTCTGCCTCTCAGAGGTTATTTCCTTGTTATCTGTTACACAGATGTTCTCTTCAGAAACCAGTTTATATTTAAATTTGTTTTTCTGTACTGCAGATTCCTTATTAGTCTCTGAACACTCATCTGCATTAGAGATTTGGGCTTTACCTGGTTTATCTGGTTCTGTCTGGACAGCTTCAAACTCCTCCTTTTGTTTTTCTGAGTATGATCCTTCCTGTACTTTGCTTTCATTAGGAAGTATGCTTTTGGAATCTGAGTCCTCTTTTTCTGAAACAGACTTCTCAGAAGGAACAGGAGGAATAGATGACGGAGGGGTTTCAGGTGCTTTTGGAGAGTCTGATTTTTTCTCCAGTTCATTTTTACTTTTCAAACCCTCTTCATCTGTTATATCATGTTTGGGTGGCTCCTTAGGAGCGGAAGTCTTCATGGACTTTTCCAGCTTTTCTAAACATTCTTTGAGTGGTAGCCGTCTGTCCTTTCTAGTTTTCAATGCAAATTTCTCTTCAGGTTTCTTGGAACAGTCTTCTGTTTTCCAAGAGTCCTCCATTGCTACTTCAGAAGTCATACTATTGAGGGACTCTTTGTCGGTGGGACCAGATCCCTCCTTTAAAGGCACTTTCTGATAAGAAACCTCAGAGACTGTAGCAACTACCTCTTTATCTGTAGGCACATTTTTGTCATCTTCACATGTTTTCACAATTTTGCTAACAGAGTTCAAAGAGTCTGATATTTTCCCCCCACTTATACCATTTTTCTCTTTCAATGAGCTGCTGCTGTCTTCCTTTGTGCTAATGGAATGTTCCGACTTACTATTTTGGGTGACATTTTGGGCAACTTTTTCACTACTAACCTCCCCATTTACTAGCAATTTCCCATCAGGACATAAAGCAGTGATTGTAGGGACTCGTTTAAAAGCCTCCTCTTCTAGTTTTCCTTCCTCTTTCAAGACATCCTTTGTTGGAGTTGCACATTTACACAAGGACCCCTTTATTGGACTGTCATAGTCATCTGTCAGCTTGAGCTCTCGCTTTTTCAGTGGTATCTTTGCCTGTTGGTCATTTTTAAGTTTCTCATTTTCTTCTACAGATTTCTCCACAACTTCTTGGGGGATTTTGGCATTGACACAAAACTCTAATCTCTCAGGTTCATGAGCTGTTATTTTATCTGTGCTGCTTTTTACTTCTTTTAAATCTTTTGGCTCTACTTTATTTTCCTTCACTTCTACTTTAACAGGTTTGACATTTTCTTTAAATGAGTCACTTTCTTCTTTGATGATGTGCTTTTCCTCATTGTTTTCTGAAGGTTTTTCAAGCTTTACTATTACTGGCAGTTTTATAATTTCCTTTTCTTCCATTTTTTCCGTTTTCATTATGTTTTCATCTGCTGGGACTGTAGGTAGAGGAAGGGTTTCCAATTGCTTTGACTGTTTCTCCACTGTCTCCTTTTCTTCTTTTATTTTTAATTCATTTTCTGTTAAAATATAACATACAAAATAAAGCTAAATATGCATCCTACAACAGTCGAGTCCTCTCTAATGAAATTAAGGGTTTGGCCTAACATTGGCATTATGATTTCCAAATATTAGCCAAAGAATGGGAAAGAAAGGCAGTTCGGTTTAACTAAAAACCTAAGCAAATTCTATACTTAACAAGAGAGTATCTATCAGAAGAGCCCCATATCTATTTTTATGCAGACCTTTTAGCTCCATTTTCAATTTTATTACATTTTTCCTAAAAGTATAGGTACATAAAATCTAAGCAAATGAGGCCTGTAACACTAGTTTTGAAAGGAGTCTGACTTCATAGTTTGAATTACTTCATTACAACAAAATGGTTGGCAGAATTCCTTATAGTGGAATTTCAAGTGAAATTTCCCCCTCCAAGCCACACTCTTGTTTGTATACACTAATATATCCAGAGGGGTTTACTTATTATTTTTTTGTATTTCAGAGCGAGGAAGTAGAAGCTGAAACACTATAACCTGAAACAAAGTTCACCAGTATTAGTTACACTCAAGCAGCATGGGCCATAACGGGGTCTCTTATGTACTGTCACAATATAAATAATAAATACATTCTGTATTCATTTCACATACAGAAGTTCCACTGGCTTCAACAGGACTAACACAAACAAAACTTGTGCAGAATACAAGTATATCAGAGAAAACAGCAAGGAGCAGATCTACCAAGAATTACATGGTTTTTGCTCAGAAGTTGAGATACACACTTATTGGAAATTGTGATAGGAGTCAACAAATGGATATTCCAACACCTGAAAGGCTTTTACAATTACAAAGTGCAATACATCCCAGCACCAAGTTATTCCTTTCTCCCTCCACTAATTTAAGTCTCTTCCAGCTAAAAGTTTCCCAAAGTGCTGTTTTGGTTCTAAATGAAGAGGGGGGCATCCAAGAGTTAGCTTAACTCTTATAATCAAACAGGAAATAAGTGCATAGAAATATAAAAGAATGTGGTGAGGAGAAACTGAAAGCACTTTGAAAGAAAAAACAAACAAAACCAAGTTAGTTTCAGAAGGCAGCCAGAGAGAGAAGCAAACTCCCCCATCAATGTCAAAAGGTGGACAATATTTTGAAACATCCAATCCCATTTTCTCCCTCCTTACTTAGGTGATTTACAAGCTTCTCTTGCCCTGTAACTTCGCAGTGCTGGACTTTCTTGAAGGAAATACTTACCTAAGATAAGAGTAAGATGCATTTTCTAAATCTACTCTTTTCTACTTTCTCTTCCTTTGTCTCTGACCTCATTCTTTTGCCACCTTTTTCTTTTAATCGTGCCTCTCCCTCAAGCTTCTAGCATTAGAAGGCAGCAGCTGTTCTAATCTTGTCTATGCTAGAGAAATTCACCAGTCTAAGAAATGATTTAGTTCTCTATATGAAAACATTCACATCCACCCACAAAGAGGGCTTTTGCTGTTTATAAGTTCTTAAAACTCCACTTGAGTGGAGTAGACTAAGCAGATTTAAAAACTGGTTCAGTTTGCACTGTTTTTACACTGGAATAATTTAATACCAACATCAATGTGGACAAACAGTACAT